ACCCCCAACCCAGAGGACATCCCCCCACCACCACCCCAATTTCCCATTAACCACCATTTCTGCGTGATCAGTGGTGTGCGTGTCTCGTGCGAGTGCCCGGGAGGCCAGGGTGTGCAGAGTCGGGGATGGCCACGCCAGCTCGCCCTAATCACCGGGGAAGACAGAGGCCTGATGACCCCACAAGTCAATATACCTCTCTCAGCCCCCTCCCCATCCCAGAACAGGGTACCCCGACTGGCCCCCATGGTCCTTTTTCTATAGGGTTTGCCTGGGACTAAAGGGTTTAGCTTTCCTCTCTCGTTTCTGTTCAATGTTTACACCCCTTTTCTAACCGCTGCTCCCGCACGGCCAGGCTGGGGCTCAGCCCCAGACCGTGGTGCCCCTGGCCCCATGCCCCCTCCCCAAACCATCCTGTTTGGCATGTGATTGAACCGACCAGTTCTGCTCCTGTAGCACATGTGTCACTGATGCCTGTGTGTCTGTACCACCCCGTGCGGCACCGCCGGCGGCGGCTACCATGGATGCATGACAGTGAGATGTTTTGCACTATTTTGAATTTTTTGGGCTCTGTAAAAATATTTTATTATAACTGACATTAAAAAGCACACCCTTCTCTGTGGCTGCTGTGGGGGTGTGGGAGGGCAGGCACCCAGGGGCTCTTCATCCCCGCTCCCACCCCAATGCAGCACTTGCACCTTTAAGGTTAACACCAAGGATAAACAGCCCAGGGACGCTGCAGCAGCTCTGTCCGCACTCAGCCTCCCTGAGGGCTGCTCTTCAGTGCACCCACCCTTTGCAAAGCCAAGAGCTTCAGGACAGGGGTTGAATGGAACCGGGACAGACCTGTCCTGAGAAGTGACACTCCATTATCAACCACCGTGCTGCAAAGTCCCAGGCACAGAAGTGATCAGAGACTGCCAACACGGCCCCACCAAGGGCAAACCCATGGAAGGCCACACTCACTAATGTAGTGGCCTTCCACAATGGAGCGACTGCCTCAGTGGACAAGGGAAGAGCTACGGATACCATCTACCTGGACTTCTGTAAGGCTTTTGACACAGTCCCCCAAAACATTCTTGCCACTAAATTGGGGCGATATGGATTTGATGAATGTGGGGCCCTGATGCCCTACAGAGAGACCTGGGGCTTTTGCCGGCCTTTTGCTGGGGCCTGGGCAGGGGTCTGCTTCTCCCGAGAGCCCCGGGGGCTTTCGCTGGTCTTTGTCGGGTTCTGGGTGGGGCCCTGGTGACATTCAGACAGCACCGGGGCCTGTGCCGGGCTTTGCCGGGGCCTGGGCAGTGCCCTGCTGCCCTTTAGAGAGCCCCAGAGCTTTCGCTGGGCTTTGCCGGGACGCGGGCAGTGCCCTGCTGCCCTCCAGAGAGCCCCAGAGCCATCACCGGGCTTTGCCGTAAGCCTCAAGGGGGCCTGCAGCCCTCCAGAGTACCCCAGGGCTCTTGCCAGACTTTGCCAGGGCCCTGGCGGGGACCTGCTTCTCTCCAGAGTTCCCCATGTTCTTTGCCAGGCTTTGCAGGCACCTGGGCAGGGCCCTGCTGCCCTCCAGAGAGCCCCTGGGCTTTCACCGAGCTTTGAAGGGGACCAGGCAGGGTCCTGAGGCTTTCCGGAGTACTCTGGGGCCTTTGCTGGGCATTGCCGGGGCCTGGGCGATGCCCTGTTGCCCTCCAGAGAGCCCCAGGGCCGTCGCCGGGCTTTGCTAGAATCATAGAATGGTTTGGGTGGGAAGGGACCTTTAAAGATCATCGAGTCCAACCCTATCCTGGCTACTGGGAGCTCTTGTCTTTTCCCAGTGATCCCTGATGGATACACCCTTTCTCGAGGTTTTCTGGATTAATGCAGCGCTGTCCCTAGCTTTAATCATCAATACTGGGGCTCCTGTGCTCATGTGAAAAGAGAGAGAATAGCTATCATTTACCACTAACGGTACACGGAGGCTATTACTAATATTTATTCCAAAATGTTTGGCCACTTGGCATGCATTTGTCATGGGAACTCCCTGGCCGGGGGGGTTGGGAGTTCCTCCATTAGTTCCCTGATAGTGGGGCTGGAGGAGCAGGGGGGACAATTTTATCTAGCACCTTCCCAACATCCAGGCCATGGGTGCAATCCCTTTCACGATTATCCCATAGTTTCTGTGAGGTGGGTGCGTTGTCCCGAATGTGGGCTTGTTACCCGGTGTGCAACGCCAATTTACACACCGAGGCGAGGTATTTCCATTTCTTTTATTCTAGTTTGCGCAAAGTAAGGAGCTCGGTGGTAGCCCACAAAAGACTAGCTCTCCGATTGTCAAAACTTCACACTATATTCTATTTCTTATTGGTTAAATGATTCTCTCACTTCTTATGGTAATTAGTCCACATGCTCAGTCTTTCTCTTCTTTTGGGTCGGAGGGTTTCTTGAGTCGGTGGGCCATGAGTCGGTGGTCGTGATCTCCCCTTGTCGGAATTAACTCTCCTTCACCTTTAGTTTCACACTTCAGCTGTTGCAGCCAAGTTCCTGTGGTTTTGCTGATAAGACAAGTTACCTTCTAACAGCCTGATTTATACAAGCCAGGGTGCCCCGTTTGTCCAGGATGTTTCTGATTTATCTCCCTTGAGATCAGATGCCATGCCAAGTATTTACTTCGAACCTCCCCGGCCTTGAATAGTTAACAAAGCACTGGACAAAATAATTGCAACATTAATCAATGGCAGCCTCCTGCAAACTTACATCAGGTGTGGGGAGCCTGTCGAACTGGCCTGTCATAAATCCTGTTTCTCCCAGGAGGCCCCGTAAACATCTCCGTTCTGGGTCTCACTCCTGTCGGTCAGGGTGTCCTTTTACGTCAGATTGATTTGTTTTAATGGGGAGTTTTTGAATATTCTGTCCCTTACTCTTATGCCTGGTCAGGGCCCCACCGCCCTCCAGAGAGCCTCAGGCCCTTCGCCAGGCCTTGCCGGGGCCCACAGGAACCCTACTTCGGCAAAGACTGCCCCAGGGCTTTTCCCAGTCGTTTCCAGGGCCTGGGCAGTGCTCTGCTGCCCTCCGGAGAGCCCCAGGGACTTCACCTGCCTTTGCCGAGACCTGCAAGGAGCCCTGCTTCTCTCCAGAGTGCCCTGGGGTATTGGGTTTATGTGGCAAGGTTTTGGTATCTGGGGGGGGGCTGCAGGGGCGGCTTCTGTGAGAGGCCAGAAGCTGTCCCCCCCATGTCAGATGGAGCCGATTCCAGCCGGCTCCAAGACGGACCCAAAGCTGAGCCAACCTGTGACGGTGGTAGCGCCTCTGTGATAACATATTTAAGAAAGGGTAAAAACTGCTGCGTAACAGCAGCCAGAGAGAGGAGTGAGAATATGTGAGAGAAACAACTTGGAGGACCCCACGCCAGAGCAGGTGGATGTGCCCTAAGGAAGCTGTGACCCTGTGGAGAGCCTGCGCTGGAGCAGGCTCCTGGCAGGACCTGTGGCCCCGTGGGGGACCCACACTGGAGCAGTCCATTCCTGAAAGACTGCACCCTGTGGAAAGGACCCATGCTGGAGAGGTTGGTGAAGGACTATCTTCCATGGGAGGAACCCCCTGCTGGAGCAGGGGAAGAGCATGAGGAGGAAGGAGCAGCAGAGACAACTTACGATGAACTGACTGCAACCCTTGTTCCCCTTCCCCCGTGCCGCTCGGGGGAGGAGGTAGAAAAGTCAGGAGTGAAGTTGAGCCCAGGAAGAAGGGAGGGGTGGGGGAAAGTGTTTTAAAATTTATTTCTCATTATCCTACTCTGATTTGATTGGCAATAAATGAAACTAATTTCTCCAAGTTGAGTCTGTTTTGCCCGTGACAGTAATTACCGAGTGATCTCCCTATCCGTACCTTGACCCACGAGCCTTTCATTGTATTTTTTCCCCTTGTCCTGTTGAGGAGGGGGAGTGATAGAGCAGCTTGGTGGGCACCTGGCAGCCAGCCTAGGTCAACCCACCACAGCTAGGCTTTGCTGGGGCCCGGGCTGAGCCCTGATGCCCAACAGAGAGACCTGGGGCTTTCGCTGGGCTTTGCCAGGGCCTAGGCAGGGCCCTGCTCCTCTTCAAAATGCCCTGGGGCTTTCACTGGGTTTTGCTG